GCTTTCCGCCCGCGGCTTCGCCCGCGTGGAATTTTGTTTGTCACAGAAAAACTTTATCGCGCGCGTCCCTGTTTCAAAAACCGGGATAAAAACTATCCTATGTTCTTTCCCGGGACTCAAACTATCTCTATGCCAAATTTCATCAAAATCGGTTGCGAGGTTTAAGCGGGAAAGCGTAACAGACAGACAGACAGACAGACAGACAGACAGACAGACAGAGTTACTTTCGCATTTATAATATTAGTTGGGATATGTGTAGTTTCTGCGTGAAAGAGTAACAAACATCCAGACATCCTGACATCCAGACAACAAAACTTTTCGCTAAAATAAAAAATAAAATAGCACCGTTATTAACAGCTGGTTGAAATGCCACAGTTTTAGTATGCATCGCCGTCCGTACGTGCATATATCTTTCTGGCCTCACCCAGTGCCTTCAACGCTTATCTGCGTCCTTATAGGTTAGCTCTACTTGATTATACCTGCTTCTAGAAATTTAGTCTGGTGTAGTTATGATATTGACGGCGTTCCCGTAATAACTAATAGCAAAATATCAGGTTAATATAGAAGATATTATGTATTCTCATCTTATTACATACAACATTAAATATTAAACCACACTTGTGCTATGTGCTCATGTGACAGAACATACATTTGTAACCGTGAAATGTTACTTAATAGATGGCAATTCGTTTTTCAATGTGATTTAAACTTAAACGAAATGGTTTTTATATTTCTAAACTACACAATTTGATATGCCTGCGAACATTCTTTCAACTCAACAAACACAAAGGTACACATCTATCAAACTTTTCAATACAACCAATTATGAAGAAAGAGAACGTTAATCAATTGCATTTTAATAACAACAAGTTTTAATTTATAACGATGTATAACACTGGATGATTCAGCAATAACTCCAATAACTGGATAGGCTCAGAGCGTTTGCCGCAACGCTTTTAGATGTTGCAATGTGTTTCGAAAGGCATTACCTTACTCATCAAGACCAATATTATAAAATACATGTGACTAAAATGATTTAATTTGGTTTGAATTTAACCAAATATAAGATTAAAATTTTCTTCATCACAATTCCGATCCTTTATTCCCATCTACCCCCTTCAAATTTGCACCAGGGTGGTGGTTGGCACTAAATAGGATCCTAACTTATATGACGAGCTGATGAGGATAGCGCCAACCGTGTGTGACTATTTCAACACATCCTATGTATTCTATTGATAAATATTTTCAGAAAATGAAATAATAAATAATAAAATAACGTTTATTTAAAAAAATATATCATACTATCAATCAATAAAAGATCATACAAAAACGACGTCTACACAATACATCATTTAATTAAGTTATTTACAAAATGGCTACAACATTATCCAATTTGCTCGTGGATAATGGTTACGTAAGTCAATAATCACCTCTGCTCTCAATAAATTAGAGTTCAATATCAAATAACATCTTGGGTCTTGGCAGGGTCGTAACGTTAATGCTCTAGCAAATTCACTTTATCAGACGCCTCAGAAGATGGATAGACTTCTTTCTATCGAATATCAAAATATACTAATTAATAAACCTATTAAAAAGTATTTCATGTAATTGTAAAAAAGTAAAAAAGATTGCACATAGGTAACTAGTCTTCATAAAAACTATTGTAGTTTTTTAGAGGATGCCACTGCTGTACAGTTTAATCTAATTCTACGCAGGCAAAATATTTTTCTTCCTGAATTAATCAATTTAATACGGTCATTAAGGTCATTTTTAATTACCGTCAAACAATATTGAACATTTGTGATTAATGAGAAGTTCATAGAACGCCCTCTGCATAATCTCGTGCGGTTTGACCTGTGCCATTGTTTATATGCAATAATTTCTTAATTACTTCAAGATAATTTGGGACTGCGTCTGTCTCCGAGATTCGAATCATTCATTAGTATCCAAACAAGTATGTCCACCCACAATCATCTAAAGCGAAAGTGTAATTATTGCATTTTGGAAATATTATACTCAACATCAAATAAACCGCACCTTCCGCGACGCAAACTTTAACGATTTTCTTCTGACACAATCATGGTGCCCCAACAATATTGGTGTTATTTGAAAGCCCAATAAATATCCTTAAAGAAAAACACATTTGATTTCTTAATAAATGAATAACATATACCATAAATGTGACTTGAAAAAATACCTCACTTTGGGACCACCTATGGGATCAATTAGACCAATTTTTATGGTTATAAAACCAAATAATGATTTCACGTGTCCTCTTTAACAGATGGATAGCAATTAAACCCAACTTAACAGTTTTATAGCCATAAAAGTTGGCTGTAGCGTAACTACCTATTTTTTGAAGAAGTGACTCTAGATCCTTCTAAAGACACATTTTTGGGTTAAAAACCTTTCCTTTAATGAAATGAAGGTTAGAACTAGGCTTTTAAATGGTACCAATATTGGTGGGAAGTGGGGATGCATACGTTTGAAAATGCTTGTCGCGGGAGGTGCGATTTATTTGACGTCGAGTGTATTTAAATGTTCAATTACCAATAAATCTGTCTATAACCAATTTGTAGATAGTCAACAATATAAATTAAGTTTATGAATAGCTCACACTTCGACTTCTAATACTAAAAGTATACTGTGGACGAAAACATTCGGCCGTACTTATGTAACCTATTTAATCTACAGGGGCGTTCTCCAAGGAGACCTGGACCTCTGGCGGATTGTTGACGTCTGGTGGGTGACCTTTAGGCCTAAGCGCAGACCACCGATTTTTAGTTGGCCGATAGTTGGGTCGGGCTGTTAATCAGTATGGATTGGACATGTATGAAAGTGCGCACATTACACCGATTTGATATCGGCCGATTCTTCATACAATTTAGAATCGGGCCCAACTATCGGCCAACTAAAAGTCGGTGGACTGCCCTAGGCAAGTCACCTTGACTGAATTTTCCACGGCGCTAACTATCGGAATTTAGGCCTATCTATGAGTTCACTAATCTTTTTAAAGCATGATTGGAATGCATCTTTAACTACCTATAAAAGTGTTCGATGTATTTCGTTTAAAAGCGAAAATAACATGTTTTTACTAATTCCCATTAACTTTATTACTACACAACGCGTATGTTTGATGCAGTTTAACACGCAAACGATCAGTGCATCGTGTTGCTTTCGGTTCTAAATGCATTTTAAGTAACGTGTAAGTTTTTACAAAGAAACAATGCAGTCGCATTCGTTTTACGTGTTAATTTCGGTTTTTAGAAGAAATTATTTCGACCAACACATGCCTATATTATATTCCCATCTACCCCCTTCGAGCTTGCCACCGGGGTGATCGTTGGCACTAATCGGTGGCGTTTACCAATAATTTTGTGATTATTAGACATCGGATTATATGCACTATCAAAATGCCAAAATATGCATGCAAATATGCACTAAAAAAGGGCGAAATATGCACAAAATATGCACAATCAAAAAAACATTATTAGAATTAACTTTATTTTCACAATACATAATTAATTAATTATATAGGTACTTATTGGTTGTAATTCTTGTGACAATATAAATATATTAATTCTTGTGACAATATAAATATAGTAAAAAATATTAATAGTGACAATTTAAAAATTATGTCATAAACTGCATTTAAACATGAATTTGATTTATTGTTTGTTAAAAAAAATGAATTTTAGCGAATGTTTTTCGATAATAAAACGCAAATCCAGGAAACGTTTTTATACGACCGGTCACTTTTCGGTCTTCATGGAATGGTCATTCATTTTCGCTCCGCAACCCCCCCCGTATGAAGGTTACTTTTTATTCAAAAAGGTTACATTTTTTTATATTTCTGGTAATTTCTGACAAGACCCGACTGGCAACACTGGTACGGATCGCTCTCAATGCGCTCTCGCAGTGCGTGCGAGGGCGATGTGTTGATGTTTGGCGTGGGGACGGCGGCGAAGTACAACACGTCTAACACGTATAAATACTAAAATAAGCACTGTCAATGAAAAAGTACCAAAATATGCAATAACGCTATAAAAATAGCATTATATGCGTTTGCATATGCAATAATGCAAATGCATATAATCCGATGTCTAGTGATTATTTTACCAATTTTTTCTATAACAATGATCGTAAATACTGAAAACTTGGCAAGTCGGGCTTTAGGCATTTAAACATCCCTCCCGAGTAAATAACCGCGCACCAATAAATAGAGTCCAGGTGCGTGTTTCGCGACCGCAAAACCGGTTAGTCCATTCAGTCTGAATAAACGTGTGCCACTAGAATAGCACCCTACAATATTGGACCTTTTATAAAGCATACTCATACCCGAAGTGCTTTTAAACAAGTAGTGTCAGTTGACAAAAGATTGTAATTGCAATTTAATCACGAATAACAATGACAAATATATTAACGATGTCATTAGAAGGAAAATAATACAGAAGATTTATCATGCAAAATGTTTTATCAGATTATGCTCTGATCGTGCCTGCACTTACCGGCTTTATTCGTACGTCTAAAACTTTAAAGTGGGTTGATTAGCTTACTTGAACCTGTGCATTAAAACTTTCAGCGCCGAGAAACTACATACAATAGAAAATCTTGATCACGGTGAAGCTTGCAGCATTCAACGTATTATATTAATACTTTTCTTTATTCCTTTCTAAGTGATAATTGTTTGCAGACTACGTAATGGCGATATGGTGGTGGCAGATTATGGAGTACACTTGGCGAGTAGAATACACTTCTTTGTATTGATAAATACATTAACACATGACTTTGTGTTCATCAACAGCACATCAGATCAGACTACTTTTTTTTCCAAAATCGCTCCTTTCACAATGTTTACCTTGATGTGCTGTCGTCTGTGCTAGCCAAAAATGTGTTACAATTGGAATAAGGTTATGTTATCAAGTGTTTGACCACTCTGAGTGTCACGAACTATTTGACGTTAACTGTACAAGAAAATTTGAAAGTTTTGAGATAATTACCTGACTCTGTTGGGTGATGGGGTCAGTCTGGTGGGCCCTCTCCACTGTGCGCACCGCTGCCAGTTCGGACCCCAGTGGCGGCGTCGGAGGCGACGAAGACAAACTCACAGGGCTCCCGGGCATACTCTCCGATTGCTCCACAACATTCACGGAGCCCTCCAGGGATGCGAAACCGAACGATATGGGTCCTGTTATTGGAAGACAAAAAGGATAAGCTCAACCGTGTAAACATATAGAAAAAAACTAGCAGTTGTTACAAACAATTCCAAATAACATTAGCACTGAGCTGTTTATTAGAGATGATTACTAAGTGAAGTCTTAGAAAGTACAGTATAATTTTGCAATAGGACTCAATCCAACTCATAAACATCCCACTTTTGGAATCTCAGGAATTCTTATGTTAATCCTAGGTAGTCATGGTGAAATCTCAAAGGTATTTTAGTTACTAGCATAATATGAAGAAGACAATATTGTAGTATAGTACTAGCAGTAGTGAAATTCTATGTTTCTTCAAAATTACAAGCAACTCAACAAAAAGAAGACAAAGCATCACTTTGCACAAATACTAGGAACTAGCAAAAATAACTAGCTCAATCTTGCGTGCTCTAAATTTTAGACGTTAAAGGTTGTAGACTTACCACTTGATCTACCAACAGGATTGAGGCCCAGCCTTCCACGGACCTCATTCCGCTCACTAGCTGTGCTGAGAAGAAGTTTGGTGCGCTCCATGTAGTCCATATGTGTTTTGAACAGATCAGTGTAGCGGTCATGAAGTTTTGCATATTCCTGTTTTGACAACAATTAAATTTACAATCTTTCTACCCACAATCATATCTGAATGTGGCACAGACAAGAAACTATCAAAATGCTTATTAATTTAAGCTGAAATTACAAAAAAAACACACGAACTGCAATTTTTCTTGTCACTACTTTTTTCTACTTTAAAAATTATAATCTGTTAAATATTGATGAAACAAACAACAATTTTTGTTACTGACCTTCTTGAGTTCATTTTCTCGCTCTTCCAACCTGCTTGCATGGTCCAAAGAGTTCTTATGTTTCAGCTCCAGCATTCTCACAATGCTGTCGAGTGCTTCCATCCGGCCTTGCAGGTCTTTTCTTTCCCCTTCGTGGTGATCCTCAGCTTCAAGTAGCTATTAAAAATTATAAGTGTTTATTGTGATGACATTAATTGCATTGTAAAAGTGTTTAACATATGCGCTGTTTTCTAATTGTGTTCAAATGCATAAATTGGTCCAATCATAACAGCCACTAATATTCTCACTTGCAATAAATATGATAATTGATGCAATAATATTTTTCATGTAAGACAGTAAACTAAATCTATTCATGTGTAAAAATTCATCTATGATTTTACCGAAACATGCAATCCAATTAGAAATATATTAATCATCATAAACTCTATAATGTTTAGCGTAGATAGTAAACTTTTTCTTAATGATTTAGTAGAAAATTTACATAATTATGGTGATCTAAATCTAAATGAATATTGAAAACCACAACTGGTAGGTCTTGTATTATGACTTCAAAAATGTAAGCAAATAGAATCCTAGTATAACGCCACACCCAATAACCAAGTGTTAATTAACAATTTCCTTTTTAATAATTATTTCATAGAAATATCCCTTAGATTAATGATTATTTAGCCATCGCTGGAACACATTATAGTCTCAGGTCAGCAACAACAACCAGTAATTTGAAGAATCTACCCACATTACCTAATTAATCCAAATTAACATGATTAGTATTAGTATCTTAGTAAGATAATATATTATTCTTCAACCACAAATGATAATTACTAATACTGATTGCCAGCAAATTGTTTATTTTTGTGCACAATAATAAATGAACTGGGCAAAACAATCGCATAAATCTATCCAGGTCACACACACATGCAGTTTCATAATAATTATACATTGCATTGCATTGTGATAAGTTTCAAATGCCAGACATTAAATCATCATGAGGAAATTATGTTTGCTTTAAATAACATAATTTTTCAATCGTGTATATAAAACATTTAAGCAGTGATCAAGAATGTTTCCAAAAAGATATTAACGAACAATAAATTCTTTGTATCAATAATTACCCAGGTATATTATTAAAAATTTAACTACGAAATTACCAATAACTTTAAAAAATGTAAACCAGCTTGTTTACCTTGGGGTAGAGGTATTTGAAAGGATGACACATTGCAGCAAATCACAAAAATGGCAAACAACACATTATACTTATAATTACTGGATTGTTGTGTATAACACAGGTGTGCATCGGTAGAAACTGAGGAAACAACTGTGAATGCAACCAAACATGCAGCCTTGTACAGTAAAACAAAGAAATCTATACCAAGGTCTAGTAGTGTGTTAATTGGGAGCTCACCTTTTGTTCCGAAAGTTTGCGTGCTGACTTTTCGCGCTCGTATTGGGTGACAAGCTGTTCATTGTCCTCCCTCAGTAGTTCCAATTCAACTTCGTGCATCTGGTTTGTCTGATAGGCCGAGTCCAAGCATTCGAGTACGTTGACCAGCAACGGCATTAGAGTCTTTACTACATCTTCGTCGTATCTAGCGATCATTCTCTCGAATTCCTGGTAAATGCTGCCAGCCAGAGACTGAACTTTTTCTGACATCACGACATGTGAGTCTTCATGGGTTCCATAGATGGTTTCATTGGTAACATACCCACTGGAACTTTCGTCGAAATTCATCTTGCTGGCTGGCGCAGGAACTACTGAAGGATAGGAGAACGAGCACTTGGTACCTTCACCCCTGGCGACTATGACATGGCTTCTACGACTGCTCCCTGCTGTGGCTCAATCGATAATATTCCAGTAAATTCTAATGCTTGAGCATATCGTTTTATAAGACGGTAGATTGTAAGTATTATGTTTATGAAATCAGAGGTAGTTGGAAAGACACCATTTGTGTGTTGAGTAGGTAGATTGACTTAATTCTATAAAAAAAAACTACGCACACCATTGATTGGCGTTATTGCACTACCGTTTCCGGAAGTGTTCTGCTTGAACTATTTTTAAATCAAAAATCTAGAAACCCCAAACAAAGGCGATAAATTTAGTTTCTTTTTACGCAAATAAATTTTATACAGTAAATTTAATAATTCATTGTTAAAATATTTAATAAAGTTAAATCTAAATAATAAAAAAGTCTTCCTTTTGATGACGTAAATTTTTAGTGGCACCCCTGCTTACTTTTCTTTTTGTTGACAAATATTTGGATACACTCCCATCATGTATCATCATGTTCATGACTCAGGAATTTAGAATTATTATATTAATTAATAATTATTGAAAACTGCTTTTATTTTAATTTTTTTCACATTTTTTACTCCAAACTTAATAGAAATGTGTAATGGTATAGATGAGACATGAAAAAAATCGCTTAGTTATAGCCTATAGGTCGCGCGACGAGAGTTGAGGCGATGAACACATTTCGTGTTCTACCATCGGGCGATATTTTGGGTCTACTACCTTGAACTGTACTCATCGGGTCCACTTTCCATGTCAATCAAAATTTTTAATAAGCTTCCAGTTTCAAAAAAAAATACACCCAAAGAATCAACATTCGTAAAAAAACTTAAAGAACTTTTAATTTCCAAACACTATTATGCTTTAAGCGAGTATCTCAATGATAAATTACTAGGCTCTAACTTCTGATACATCTTTCAGTTGATCTAGGGTGGTCCTCCTCTCGCCTAATTGCCGTGCCATAAAGGGCCCATAATGTTCTAATTTTAAGTACATAATGGATGCAATAAAATATTGAGTATTAAGTATACCGGACAAGTACCTGGGCTGCGGATAGCGAGGTATTTTATATTTAGGGATTTATCTTTAAAACCCTCAGAGATAGCTGTTTGCGTTTTCTTTGGAGGATTGCTTTCGATACATTTTAATCAGCGATAGATCAAGACTTGACTATCGTAACCTCTATAAAAATAACTGGAAGAGGGCATTTGGGGGTCCTCTCACTGAGTGAGTGTGCTGCGTAAAAATTTCCAAGTTCGGACAATAATTATTATAATGATGAATAATGATTTCTTGCGTAAGTGTGAAAGCCAAACCTACGTTATTTTATAAAGGCTGAAATTTTGTCAGCGCATGGCGCATGCTCCTAACGTAGCTAAGAACCATGGCTTTGGCAGACAGACAGTGCTAAAGGTGTGTAAAATACCAACCCAATTACGTCAAATTATAAAATTAGATTTTTTGATATTTCCTTCAAAATATTATTAGAAATGACGTCCTTCATTGACAGACACCTACTATCGTGGCAATCCTTTGCCAGACACCCTACAGTTCATGTAAATGTGATCCTACTTACGCCATACTATAAAAGCTGATAATTAGGTAACTAGGTAGGTACATGTAATATTCGAGATATCATGAAGTTTCCTCATCAGCCATTTTGATCGTTCCTTTTTCTTGCCAGACAGCTTTAGGTGTGAACGCGAGGCACTATAAAGATTGTTTTTCGTAGTTTTTCTTAAGCTACCCAAGTACCTATTTGCGTCTGTAAATCATCATCTCATGTTGACGAGCTGATGATGGAAGGTAATAATTATTTTATATAATATTGTGGGTAGTACGTATAGACTGACAAATTATATTCTTTCGGTATGAGAAAAAGTAGCTTTCTTTCAGCTTAATTTTACACAAAGGCGCCTAGGTACGTTCCGTTTATGTTACAGCTTCGTTTGAAACTTTGAACAATCTGTCAAGCAGGTCAAGCTACACCGCGGTATGGATTTGTGCAAACAGCTGATTTTTGTTCGTTGTCCAGTAGCGTTGCAGTTGAAAATTTTTAGCACAATCGGGGCCCTGGTTTAATGGACTTAATTTGTCACTAATGACCTCTAGTGTAACCCCTTTCAAGGAATAGGTCGAGTAGGTATCCCAATCAACCTGGGCCCCGCTTGCGCTAAATATTTTCAACTACAACGCGACGCCACTAGACGACGAACGAAAATCATAAATCGCGGTGTCGCTTTGACAGCTAGTTTAAACGAAAAAAAAAACTCAACTGCTTGTAAAAGCTGAAAGAAAGTTACATTTTTCATACTCAAGTCAAACGCCTTCACGAAAATTTGCTGTGTTTTAGTGAAAAAATAAGGTCTGGTGTTCGGACCAATATTGGAAAGTCATTAAATCCGCTGTTTCGTCTTTGTTTGAGCGCGAACTTTACCACATTATCTGCAATTTTCCATTCGGACGTGTATCGCAGTATAGCAGCGCAGCCTAGCATATATTTTTAGGCAAAATTGGTGGTATAATAATATTAAAGCCCGACCAGGAATATAAAAACCCTCGCCATGTTGCGGAAAACTATTATAATGGTACTAATTTCTTTTAATGGCAACAGTAACTGAAAACTTCATTGACATGTCACCTTGCATGTCATTAATTAAACTATTGCTGTCAAAGTGTAAACAAACCTAAACAAAATTTATTTTAAATAAGTGCAATTGATTTTGTGAATTAAATTGCTAAAATCTTTTTATAGTCGTGAAAGAAAAGTGGTTCACACACAATTAGAGATGGGTTTCCACCCGGGTAAAAACCCACATGAGGGTAAAAACCCAATAAAAACCCGTTTCATTCCACCCGTGGGTGTTTACACCGGGTGAAAACAAATAATTTTATAATTATTTCAATTGGCATCTTTTCTTTATTTTTATTGAATTTTTCTCATTTAAGTTTATTGATTAATAAGTAATAAGTCAAATTTAACACTAATATGCATTTATATCGTGGCCAAATCGTAAAATTGATCACGTTATGATGATGTGACCAATTATTTTATAAAATGGTGTTATTTCAAGAATCGTTGAACCGATTTAGAAGAAATTTAGTAGGAACACAATAATTTGTGATCATGGCAAGGACATGGAGGGGGGGATGCCAAAGATGCCAAACTCTCTCTTTGATGACATTACGGTATAAAGTTACAAATAACAACACCAACTACAAAGTACTTCTGCTTAAAAACTTGAAATCGAACCGCCCTTCCGCCACTGTAACGCATTGTAACGTTTTTCAAGACCTCCTCTCCCCCCAGATTGCATTACGTAACACTAGAATGCCCCCTTAGCAACAAATACCACTTCTCATTTAAAAAAAAGCTATTTTTGTTTTCACCCACCAGAATGGGTGATAATGGGTAAAAACCGGGTTTTTACCCAAATCACCCGGTTTTAACCCAATCGGGTGAAATGGGTTTTTACCCACTACCCATCTCTACACACAATGCACAATGTGTTAAAGTATTTGTCGAAGAGAAATACTAAGGGCTCGGACAATATTTTCATTGAATAATGTTTCCGACCAAGGTTGTCAAATTGACTGACAAGTTTATCGTATAGTACAGTCCACTATGAAAATTAGCGGTAATTTGTTTCAACTACTTATTTTAAAGTTTTTTGTCACTTTTTAAGTGTTGAATTTTATGAAATTGGGAAAGAAGTACCGAGTTTGAAGCGTTCATGAGCAGACATTGCAGTTGAATATTCAAGTTCTGAATTTGATTATTGATGAATAATAAAATAAATCCTACTAGCTCGATTGATGTTTCATTTAATTTATTTAAACCAGGTTACCTATAATATAGTATATTTTCGTTAATTGACGAAAATATCAAATTAGCCCGTAATCCTGTATCCTGCCTGATACATAAAGTTAACTTATTAATTTAACACAGGTACGATGTACGACTGTACTCAGTGTTGCACTATCAAATGCAATGAGGGTTTTCGCGATTGAAAAATCCACCAGATGGCAATACGTAGACGCGAGGTCCAAAATAATGCTGCATGATTGGTTATTTTTGACATGACATTGACAGATATGTCAAAATCCACCAATCGCGCAGCATTTGGACCTCGCGTCTACGTATTGCCATCTGGCGGATTTTTCAATCGCGAAAACCCTTATTGACGCACCTTTATGCCAGGGTTTTTATGTTCCTGGTCGGGCTATACCAATCTTCCCAAAAAAAAAAAAACAAAAAAAGAATAAGTACAAAATTCTCTTGTAGTTGTGTATCCGAACAACCATGAGTGACATGTCATTTGTAAACACTACCACACACACACACACACATTACACACGTCATTCGTTTAGAGAAATTCAGACTGCGGTTTCGTCAAGTTTTTACAAAATCTCGATTTTTATATTCAAGATAAATTGATTTTTATCACATAAAATATCCGCTGAAGGCTTATGTGTTGGGATATCTAATAGTTTATGGTAGAATAACTTATTTATAATTTTCTTTCGTTGTTTTTAATCACGGGCAGTGGTAGTTTTGAATTTAGGTCTACGGTCTACTAAATCAATTGTTGAAAATGTCTAAGAAAGAGGACCCTGTGCCCGGTAACAAGTCAGTAATCCTGGCTTACGTGCTGTGGCTCTTTAGTGGTATATTTGGAGTGCATCATTTTTACTTGCGAAGAGACAGGCATGCTTTCGTTTGGTGGTCTACACTTGGTGGATTTGGCGTTGGGTGGCTTGGTGAAATATTCCGGATACCTCGATACGTACGGGACGCCAATGAAGATCCTCAGTACATGCTTCAGCTCTCAATGAGGATGAGCAAAAACAGCAAGGTTAGTAACTAATAAGGATGTATTTTGAGGATTCAATGACCTCAATTTATTGGTGACCTACATTTTTGTATGTTAACCTCCTTCATGACCATTTTCCTCACTAAAAATTTATTCTGAAGTTTTACATAAAATGTAGTCTACACTAAAATGTGATTTTCAGGTGCATAATAATTGTGGATTTTAAAATTATTGCTTATTAAGAAGTTTCAGAATTTGATTATTTTATTGGTTTGATTGATGACAGTTACTATCTCATAATGAGTAAGTTACAAGCATTCTTGATATCAAATTGCAAACTGAGGGTGTTCTTGATGGGTCAAGTTGATCCTTCCTGAGTAGGTAACATGATTCAATGATTGCAACTAATTAGCCTTCTTAACTGCATTATGTCTATCAAGCCAGAGAAAACAAGCATTTTATATTTATTTATATGACTTGCTTGATACAATATCATTTTTTTACATTTAATTAGTATTTGATCTCATATGCTCCCATTAACTTACTAGTATCTACAGACTACACGTACTTCACCCCAAGGCTTTTTATCTGTCAGAAAGTTGTTTCCTGTGAACAAAAACTGTTTCTTACCAACAACATCAATTACATTTTTCTTAACCCTAACTTTGTGACCCATATCTATCATATTATGTCCTTCTTGTCCTAAATAAATAAATAAATTCTCCTAAGCCTAATAATATGTATTCTTTTCACCAAAATGATTATAACTTGAGTGCTTTAGGTGTACAATGTATGTCATATTTGTGTTTTGCACAGGCACAGGTGTGCTCATAGGTTTTTTCTTCCAGCCCCCATTTTCGATGAATCGCTTTACGGGTATGCTTATGGTCGGATACTCCTGGGGGCAGATGATGCTGTATGCAGTTCCTCCTGATGAAATCTGGGGCATCAACTTCAGATACCTTAACTACTTGATTCCATTTGCAGCTGCTCTCGGTAAGTAGTGTATAATGGTAAATTTCTTGGGGTAAATGCATTCATATAGTGCTCTGTTCTGATTGTTTTTCTTTTGTGTAGGTGTGTGGACAGTGGGCAACATTGGCAGAGAGCAAGGCAGTCTGAAGTGGCCTCTGGCGGCGGCATACGTGACGTATTTCACGCGTTACTACATCTACGATGAGACCATCTGGTTCACTCTCATGGTGCTTGCTTCGGCGCTTGCATTTGACTCCTTTTCCAAGGAGTGGCGTAAAAAGAAACCCAAGAAACATCATGTTGTGAGGTTAGTGCAGTATTTATTCAATAAGTGTATGAATTATTTCTAAATGTCAATAAATGAAGATTGTGTGTTTGATCAATTTATATTCAACTATCAAAGTTATAAATGCTAATTTCTATTTGACAGCCGCATAGCCATCTTAGCCGTGTGTGCTTGCCTCTACCTGTCGCTGTGGGTCAGCTATCTTTACTTCCAAGGCATCATCACCGACAGCGATGGAAATGAAGTACCCATCTACGAAGCGTTTGAACACTTCTTCAGCAGTCCTTGGTAAGTGACCTTGTTTGAGGGTTTCTATTTTTAAACATTTACAGTTTAGTTTGCATTGTTTTCATAGGCCTTAAATAATATGCAAACTTTTAACCTGTATCGTATTTATCGCAGTGTATAAAAGTCTTGGAGTTTCTTTTGGCTGTTGAATGTTACGATTGTGTCTTTGTAAATTACGATTAGTCTGCTTTAGAGTTTAGTAATTTTTTAGTGTTCATCTATGAAAGGTTTTCATCGGCATCGACTAGGGTTCCGTGATATAATTATGCTGATATATCACGGAACCCTAGTCTAGATTAAAATTTAGAACATTCAATTACGCACCTTGTGTCCTTGACATTCGTCCCCTATTTGTTCGATGTTGTTTAGCTAGTCGGATTCGCGTTTCGTTGCTATGTCAGCAGTGTTCTGGATACTTCTATTTGGGGTACAATATTTATGATCGCACTGTGGGCATCGCGCGCTCACGGATTTAAATACGATTTAAATATCGTCACCTTTCGAGAATAAGTGATCCTACTGGAGTGCTATAATCAATAAAATAACGGTGGCGCCCTCAAACACTTAACAAAAATTATCCAATCATACATTAATAGAATATACCACACGTTATCATCCTCTATTTACATGTAGTGAAAGTTCAAATTTCGAGTAAACTTGTTACTTTTTAGATAGAAAATAATGCTTCAAGATCAGTATATCAAATTACTATTTGTCTTTCGTGATGCCTGATTGTTAAATGTCGTATGTAGCTTAAGTTAAGTAGGTATATTATTAGTTTTGTTTGTTTATTATAAAGCTTACATTTGACGATTGGGTGTGTAATGTGTTGCAAGTTGTTTTTGTAGCATTGTATGTTGTATTAATACAGCAAACTTAAATAATACTCAGTAGTATTACTCGACGAGCAATATTTGAGCGTGAGGAAGAGTCATCCATCTTCCACCCTCAACAATGTGCAGTCAAGCATCGTCATGTCAGATAAAAAGACATAATTTGTAACTGAAAATATCTTTTATATTGTCTTCTTCAGAATACATAGTCAATAAAACTGTCGGGTAGCGTCGTATTGCGTTACAAGTACAAGTCATGTACACAATTATTTTAAAGTTTTCGTGGATATTGCAACGATAGCACAAGGCAACAATAGTCCAATGGTGTCGGGATGGACTGGCCGAATCGGCAGATCCGTAGACGCGGGTTTCACGAGGGGTTACCATGACTTTTTAAGGCCCTCGTGTATTAGGTGATGAGGTCGCGCGGCCAGTACGGCTAGCACGAGAAACTTTCGAGTTCAAATCGTTTGCGTACTCGAATCGCCATCAAAATATTTAGTAAGAAAACTACAACAGCGCCCTTGTAAACGTGTCGTAAAGTGAACTTAGTATGAGATGTGGTTGCACAAAACTTATTTTGAGAATCAAAATTGTCACTTTATCGTTTAATTCGAAGATTGAGTATCGAATTTTATCGAATACGCAAACTATTCGAAGACGAAAGTTGTTCATGCTAGAGGTACAGACACAGTACAGGTCACTGCGGCCGATGAAATATTATGAATTTAGTCACGCTCACGCGGATTAGTCTCGTAATGGGCGGGAGTTCTTAGTACTAAATGGAGAAGTTTCGTGATGTTGCAAACAATATATTTTAGTGAATGGGATTAAAATATGTTACTGCAACAAATTACAAATCATAGCTTAAGCATAAAATATATCATTAAAAAATAGTTTGTATCTGAACGTAACATTCGTTTTAGTTTGACATTAACATAAATGACACAGTAAGCAGTTCTGATAACTTTTATTTTACAGCTTGCTTTTACATAACTTAAGGAAAGTTATATTAATTACCATACGTTTTGTTGCCAGGTGGTTGGACGCGAAGCAATGTCTGTACGATACTTACCAGTACGCGCAGCATCACGGCTGGTACGAGGTGTGGAAGCAAATCATAGATCTGTCAGATCCGCATGGGGAACAAAACGCTTACAAGGTAAGTTAAAGGTCATAGCAGACATATCAACTCGGAAAGGGATCAACACAGTATCGCCTTTTTCAATTTGTCATCGCCTTTCGCGCGCTGTAAATCGCGAGGCGAGGCGTTTACTACGGTGCGCGGTTAAGCGTGCGTTGAAATATTTGACGATTTGTAAGTACTATTAAATAGTAATAATTAAGAAATTTTGACTTTGGTCCCAACTGCTTGGCAATACACATTTTCCAGCTTGATTCACACATACATGTTATGACCAGGTGGCCATAAGATGCCATTAGGTAATAGACAGTCCACAGTTCATTAGAGTCTAATGATTAGACTATACATATTTGTTTCAAAATCGCACCTATTTGCCCGTAACTGAGCAGTCTGAACACCCTCCTCAGGCAGAGTTCTGGGAGTAGCACGGGAGGGGTGACATTGACATATTATGACATGACAGCAAATCTGATGTCTCGCTAACGTTTGACGTTACAAAAACACCCTCCCGAGCCCTCCGTCCGAGCGCACGGGACTCAGTGATCGCTAGACATATAGTGCAACAATTTATGACACAGAGTTGAGCTTAATTTGCTATCCTAATGGCGAAGCAAATACAATTTCCAGTACGGCTAGCACGAAAAACTTTCGAGTTCGACTCGTTTGCGTATTCGAATCACCATCAAAAGATTTAGTACGAAAACTACAACAACTCCCTTGTGAACATGTCGTAAAGTGAACTTATTATGAGAAATGGTTACACGAAACTTATCAACCGACTTCAAAAAAAGGAGGAGGTTCTCAATTCGACCCGTATGTTTTTTTTTCTATGTTTGTTACGCGATAAGTCCGCCAATTATGAACCGATTTAAACAAATCTTTTTTCGGCGTATAGGTAATACCTCAAGGGTGGTCCCATTTAAATTTAATAATAGAAAAAACAACCCCCAAGGGTGGAAAATTGGGGATGAACTTTTTTATACGCAATATCCGCCGATTATAAATCAATTTGAACGATTATTTTTTTGTTGAATAGGTATTATCAAAAGGGTGGTTTCATGCGAATTTGAAGAAAATGTTTCACCCCCAAGGGTGGAAAATTGGGGATGAACTTTTTTATACGCAATATTTTAAATTTTTAGTTTTTTTTTTGTGTTCACGCATTTGAAGTCGGTTTTATTTTTTTTAAAAGTTATTTTGAGAAACAAAATTGTCACGTTATCGTTTTATTCGAAGGTTGAGTATCGAATTTTGTCGAATACGCAAACGATTCGAAGACGAAAGTTGTTCATGCTAGAAGTGCATGTTCTCAGGCTCGGTCCGGAGTCGAGCCAGCGAGTGAAAACGTACATCTTCATCTTGCGTCGCCTGTAGACCAGGCTATACATATTTACGATTGTGTCTTTATAAAATACACTCGCGAGCAAAACTATGGAATCACTTACATGAAGTTGTTTCCACGCGAACTTGTGTACTAACGAATTTGTTAGTAACAAAAAAAGTGGCACCATTTTAAAGATTAAACTTTTATCTTTAAATTGATACCAAATTCATTTAAATCACACCAGTATTTAAAAAGATATCCCGGCTGATGTGAAGAAGTAACGAAAAAGACATGTATGAACTGTTTGATACGTCGCGAGTTGCGGCCTATTTACCCCCTATAAAAGCACGCGTTTTCGGATTTTTGCTTTCACACGTTGATTCATACACATCTCCGCTTCTTTTGACACTTTACCTGGGATTCTACACCTTCAGAAGCAGCACAAATCGTTGCACTATTGCAAGAAGGGCTCAGCCAGCGGGCTGTCGCACGTCAGCGCCACATAAGCCAGTCCTGGGTTTCGAAAGTTTTAAGACGCTTTCGGGAGACTGGTGGCTTTATCCCGAGACCAAGTTCTGAACAGCGCCGGCGCACATCGCAGAGGGAAGACCGTTTTTTCATGTCAACCTCTCTATGAAATCGTCATTTGACTGGAATCGACGTCCAGTAAGAGCTCAGAAATGTTTGTAGGATAGCTGTTAGCGAGTAGACAGTTTGTCTAAGACATAAGCAATAGAATTTAACTCCAAAAAGGCCTGCCACAGGCTCGAAACTGACGGCAGGTCACCGATAAGCACCCTTTCAATTTGCTCGTACACATCTCGATGGGAAGGCGAGTAATGGAGGCGAGTTCTGTTCTCCGATGAATGCAAACTGTGTTTGCAGGGCAGCAGTCGAAGAGGTCGGGTTTATAGGCGGCCTGAGGAGCGATTTGTGCAGTGCTGGTTCGCTGAAACAGTGGCTTATGGGGGTGGCTTGCTCGACTTAACATCGAGATGTGTACGAGCAAATTGAAAGCGTGCTTATCGGTGACCTGCCGTCAGTTTCGAGCCTGTGGCAGGCCTTTTTGGAGTTAAATTCTATTGCTTATGTCTTAGACAAACTGTCTACTCGCTAACAGCTATCCTACGAACATTTCTGAGCTCTTACTGGACGTCGATTCCAGTCAAATGACGATTTCATAGAGAGGTTGACATGAAAAAACGGTCTTCCCTCTGCGATGTGCACCGGCGCTGTTCAGAACTTGGTCTCGGGATAAAGCCACTAGTCTCCCGAAAGCGTCTTGAAACTTTCGAAACCCAGGACTGGCTTATGTGGCGCTGACGTGCGACAGCCCGCTGGCTGAGCCTTTCTTGCAATAGTGCAACGATTTGTGCTGCTTCTGAAGGTGTAGAATCCCAGGTAAAGTGTCAAAAGAAGCGGAGATGTGTATGAATCAACGTGTGAAAGCAAAAATCCGAAAACGCGTGCTTTTATAGGGGGTAAATAGGCCGCAACTCGCGACGTATCAAACAGTTCATACATGTCTTTTTCGTTACTTCTTCACATCAGCCGGGATATCTTTTTAAATACTAGTGTGTTTTAAATGAATTTGGTATCAATTTAAAGATAAAAGTTTAATCTTTAAAATGGTGTCACTTTTTTTGTTCCTAACAAATTCGTTAGTACACAAGTTCGCGTGGAAACAACTTCATGTAAGTGATTCCATACTTTTGCTCGCAAGTGTACAATTAATGAGCTATACAGTTAAAATAGTATTTTTTTTCAGCTATGAAAGGTTTTCATCGACATCGACATTTAAGTCTATTTTATGTGTCGGCTGTTGTTATTCCCAAATAAATAAAGAAATAAATCGACTAGGGTTCCATGATGACTTGCTGTAAGCTTGATTTTTTCTCATATCCAGGTCCTCGGGCTCGGTCCGGAGTCGAGTCAGCAAGAGATAACTTCCACCTGGCGTCGCTTGTCCCGGGAGAACCACCCCGACAAGGTGAAGGATGAGTCGCAGCGCCGCGCCGCGCAGGAGCGCTTCATGGAGATACAGCAGGCCTACGAGATACTGTCGAACAGCAAGCACAGGTAAACTGCCCCTTATACAATGTTTGGTACAAAGCTGAAAAAAAGGCATAAGGTGCGCTGAAAGGTCTCAAAGCAAAGTTAGTTGAAGGATGAGTCCCGCACACCTCCCTGCGTTCGCTCCGTCCGTATCAGAGCGTCGATATGACGTCACGGCTGCCAGGTGCGCAGTTAACTCTATCGGGTTCTTGTACGAAAGTGAAAAAAAGGTCTAAGGTGAGGCAAAAGATCTTAAAGCAAAGTCAATTCATCTTACTTACAGGAAACTCTTGGTCTGCACCTCACTTGGCGGTAAGACTACTGGGAAAGTCCTTTGGAAAACGCCTTTTCCCTAAAGTGATAGAAAAAGGTTACTTTATTTTGGCAACAACAAATTCAGACAACAAAGACATACACAAAAAAATTCACTAAGTAACTAACTGCCCCATACAATGTTTGGTACAAAGCTGAAAAAAAAGGTACGAGTAAGGTGTGCTAAAAGCTCTTTGGCTTAGTTCGTTCGTTTCAGCCAAATGACGTCCACTGCTGGACAAAGGCCTCCCCCAAGGTTTTCCATAATGAACGGTCCTGCGCTGCCCGCATCCAGTCTCTTCCCGCGACCTTTACCAGATCGTCGGTCCACCTAGTAGGAGGCCTGTACTTCTTCCTGCCCGTGGTCGCCAGTCGAGAACTTTCCTGCCCCAACGGCCATCGTCTCTACGAGCTATGTGCCCCGCCCACTGCCACTTGATTTTAGCAATTCTGCGAGCTTTACTTTGGTTCTCCTGCGGATCTCCTCATTTCTGATTCGATCACGCAGGGAAACTCCGAGCATAGCCCGCTCTTTGGCTTAGCTTTCCCATAAATTCTGATAGTTGACACACTTTTTTTGCCTCACTTTAGTTAGATCACAGAAAGTAAAAGGAGATGTGACAAGGGGGCGTGGCCGGTGTCGCAGCAATATGCCTCGTGTATGCAATGATGACAGCAGCGACGTCATAATGTAAACAGTTTACATTGCTTGCGTAGTACTAAAGATTATACGAACGTTGAGTACTGATACCGCAATGGATAATGAGCACATATTTTGATTACTTTGTGTGCGTGAATTTCTAATGTGACACTGAGTTTCGGATACAAGGATTTTTGTACTTATTGTGCATGTCGGCCTCCCATCCTGGTGGTTCGGACAGTAGCCGTAAAGGACTACATGCCAGTTGTGATGGCGGGTTTGAATTCTGGCGGAGCAGAAGCTTATACAGAACAGAACATACGCTTGTACGCTACTTACCTTAGGGCCCTCGCCCACGGCGACTTTTTGTAGTGATGTTATCGCGCGTTTCGTAAATGATCGACAGTATCGGCTACTAACGCGCGTTAGTCGCATTTGCACGCACTACAGAAGCGATGCCAACGCGCTACTAACGCGCTACAGGAGCGCGACAGTATTGCGTTTGCATCGCGACAGAAGCGCGTTTATGTGGGCGAGGGCACACATCTAGCGACTGCATTGCGACTGTATCGATGCGAACGCGCGACAGAATCGCTACTGCATCGCTACAAAAAGTCGCCGTGGGCGAGGGGCCTTAGTTATGATGACAATATCGTATTCATGGCTGAAAGCCACAGCACACAATCCGTGGCGGCGCCACACCGCACGGTACCGCTCGTGTGCCCGCCACAGATATTTCTATGTAAGACGACGCAGCGACACCAAATTGTATGAAGAATCGGCCTAATCGAATCGGCGTAGTGTGCGCACTCCCATACATGCCCATATTGCCCATACTGATCAACAGCCCGACTAAACTATCGGCCGACGAAAAATCAACGGTGTGCGCCTACTCTTATTCCACTCTAGCTGAACTGCACGGCTAACATTATGACCTTTATAATATTAAGCAACAGCAAAAATATGTAATAAACATGCAAATGCATTTTCTTTCCAGGAGAAACCGGCGCAACAAGAAAGACAACACTGACAAAGAGAGAGCTCGTCACGACGAAATGTAGTAAGTCGGTCTAGTAAGACTGTTTGCTCAAATATATTGTATTTTTAGGTATTCTATTTATCTCGAATTTATTTAAAGTCTTTGCATATAACGACTTGTAGCTTGCGTCTTCCAAAATCGTTTAAAAAGTGTTTTAGTAGAAATAAAAAAACACGCACAAATCTCAGTAAAAGCTTCCAGTTATGTAAGTCGCAGTTATTTGACTATTTTAATCATAAAATGTCCTTTTATATTTCTAAAATCTCAATCTCAACTTGTGACTCTTTTTGGTTAGGATTTCTAAAATCTCAATGTCAACTTGTTTCTACTTATATTTTTATTTGTTTTTCAATCCCTTCTTATTAACACGCTTTTTAATTTGTGCATTCCGTTATCATATAAAGATACATATCGACTTTTAGAAAGACGCCAAAATATGTTAACCCGTAATATCGCGGCAATGCTGTTGCTGCTATATTTTGAACCTCACTGCTCTGTCTTGAGGTCCAAACTAAGTTTGCAGTAAGTTCGTAACTGTAGAAGGTTACAAATTGATTGTCAGGTAAATATTGTGTTTTAATTCGTATCTTAAGTAAGTGTCATATCGACGTTTTTTGAAGAAAAATCACGTTACTCCGAGAAAGCTTTTCTAGTCTAGTGTCTTTCTCAAGTTGAATTGATATTACGTTGTAATAGATGTCGCATTTAAATTATGCATTTATTACTAAAACAATTAACATCATTATTAGATTCGTGCAATGAGAATAGTTTAGTTAAACTTTAGTCTAATCATGTACTTAAAATATACTTTTTGCATTTACCATACCAAATGTAAATTATTATTACTAAAATTAAAATAAGTTTCATAACATTTTTAAACCTTAAAAGACGTAGCACATTTATCAACCCGGAAAGGGATCGTAACCGTATCAACTCGAGGTGGTCAGTATTCATTGTATGAAATTTCATACCGCAACGCACACTTATCCGTATCGTAACGTAAACGCCTCGCCTCGCGATTAACATCGCGCAAAAGGCGAAGACAGTTCGCGAAAGGCAATACGGTGTTGACCCCTTTCCGAGTTGATAAGTCTGCTATTACCATAAACTGTAACATAATCGTAATTGCATATTTCTGATAATACGTAATTTAAAACAGTATTCTCGGTAAAAATATATTTCATCGCTTGCGTAATTCCAGTTATGTCGTAAGCGATGTTAAACTCATTTTGAAAATATTTATACAAAAATATTTAAAAAATTGCAGATGTGTTAACTCTGTAATATTATTTATTATTATGAACGAACTAAAGTTATTTATATTTTGAAAGGTAATTAAGTCTCGTTTTATAACCATCTTCTGTCTTGTTNTTGGTATTGTCTGTCATGATTTATGTACTTTTTAATGTGTCCGAAACACTTTTCATAGCATTTTTTCCACTCAGCTTGAGGCACGGGACTATTCCCACCTCTCGTTCCCACCACTGCAACTCCTGTGTAGCCAGGATCTACAGCTTGACCGCCACAAAAACCCAACCAATGAAGGTCAAGTTAGTCCCGGGGGAAAGTTAAACTGTCATTGGACCCGCAACGAAATCAATCAGAAGAACATAGGAGGAGTTCGAAATTAAGGTTCGACTTCCCTCCATTGCAAAGCGGATGACAGGTGACAAACAAAGGTTTAAAACCTTTAAGAAAAAGATTATGCACCACGGACAATAAATTAAATTAAGGGGGCCTATCTTATGAGCAATTAGCAACTACCTGCCAATAATATTTTTCACAAGCTTGAGGCACCTCCAAAGCATGGTTTTTGACCGCACCGACAGTTGCTTCTGGCTACATAAATCGCTGTTCACGCATTTAATTTTAATATATGGGTACCAAAAGAAGTGCTTAGATTCCAAGCAAGAATTTTGTAGCGTTGGACCTGTTTATTTCATATTTTGAGTGTTCAAATAGTCAGTTGTTTGACGAGACGTGTAAAAGCTCACATTTTCTTCCCGAATGGCGATTCGACTATGCTGGTCAGTTTCCCTTATTAAACTGAAGACTTTTGAAAAAAAGTGGCTGTTTACTATTAAGAATTAACCATTCTAAATTTCTCTTGTGACGTTTCTGTCATATAATCGGATATTTCGGAAAAATAGGCGACCGTAAGTTTCTAAGTGTTCCGAGCGCATGGGACTTTTGTTGGAATTGGTTCATCTTAAAACACCTCCATATTTGATAGCTGTTTATTTTCAGGATCATTATGCATAGATCCTTAATTCGTCAACTGTCACAATTTTAAAAACGGCTACTGGTTGAGGCGCTCCTTTTCAAGACTTGGAAGCCTGCGGGTAGCGCCATTGGACGTGGAGAGGGTTAAACACATATTTTCTACTTTGCCGAACATTTGCACGAGAACGGTTTGTTCAAAACATATACATATATTTGGTCTTATTTAATGCAGGATTAAATGCCCTTCACCCGTCAGGAAGACCACTTTTCGATAGGGTAAGTCCTTTACGCGGTATAACCGGCAAACCGAAAAAGCGCCACTTTCGGGGGCCCCCACCACTTAAGCACAACTCCGTCGAAGTCGAAAACCTAGGAGAGTCTTTATGCCATAAAGTTTATGGGCAACTAATAAAGCCATTAAATCACTAAAATCTTTAGTAGGAATTGTTTCAGATTTAATTCATTTTTGTGTTTAATTCTACTGGCCTATTAGAGAACATTCACGTTAAAAAGTTCGTAAAATACCTACCTACTTATTTTTATGATTTAACGTGATGAAATCGAGTTTTAGATTTTCAAGTGAAAGTAAAGCATAGCCTAATGCAAGATATTTTACGCTCCTATCTAAATTAATCTTTTTTTATTTCGGTCAGACAGGCTTTGGAGCGCGGGGCCCCCAAATTCGCGGGGCCCGTAGCATTTGCTACTCTTGATACGTGGCTAATCCGGCACTGGTCTTGTTCATACTTAGAGTGACTGCAAGACAGAGGTGATCTTAATATTGACTATTTATTTATTTTGTCTCACTCAGTGTTGTGAAAACATTTCATATTAAAAGACTCATATTGCGTTAAGCCTCGTCTCTCCATTATTAATTGATGACTGATCGCTGCATAAAACTAAGAGTGGAAGGCTACATTCTTTTTCACCGCTGAAGTACGTATTTTGTTACATATAAGCAACAATGTGTCAAATTGATAAAATAAGTTTTATTTTGACAAAGATCTTCCAAAAATAGTAAGTATACTTGTTAATGTGTAATCTCTTTAATAAGGTAAGTCGAAAATAGTATCCAATTATACAGTAGTGACAATATTTATGTACATTTACTTTAATATTAAATCAATTGACCACTACTTAACGCCTCGAGGCAGAAAGAAATTCCATTTAACAGCCAATTCTAAATAAGCGATGAATGAACGGTTCCATTAAATAGAGTAAATATTAGGTATACCTACTGTTCTTCTGCCAAGATACATTCTTCTTACTGGAAGTCGCTACATAAAATCACACCTGTGGACCCTAAATAAGGCAAAAAAATAAAAATTTTGATGTGTATTTTAATTTTTTGTCAATGCAGAAGCGCTTAACCTAAGAACTTGAGGAACGAGTGTCAAATGTTATGACACTGTGTCAAATTATGCCACTGACGTTCATCCCAGTGAACATTACATGCCGTGATTTATAGCGCGTCGAGAAACCAGCACAATCTTATTCCATTCCATTAAAATAAGTTGGTCCAAAATTATGTGAGGGGTGACATAATTGACATAATATGTCGTGACAGAGCATACAAGTCTGAAACACATCTGAAGTCTCACTGACGTCTGACATCACAAAAACACCCTCCAGTGCCGTTCCCTTATTAACTATCTCAGTCACTAATGCCCGTTTTCACCATCAATCCCTAATCTTAAAGTGACCCCTATGGTGACACATAGCATTTTGTTTTCATAGGGGTCACTTTAAAATTAGGGATTGATGGTGAAAATGGGCATAAGTCATGCATGTGCTAGACCACAGGGTGGAATTTTGTAATGCCACCTGGAGGGAAAGTACTCTTAATATTGTAGATAGAATTTTTTTCTTAAAGAAAACATTCCTTTATTTTTTAAAAGAAATAGAACTGCATTCAAAGATTTCCAAAAATTTGCTTGCCACACCTGGGAATCGAACCAACTAAAATCTGTTAAAAATTACACTCTGTATTTTTATTGCATCGATCATTAGGGTTAAGTATAAGGATGAAATCTCTCTAACAAACTTGATAAATCAAATGAAAGGAAAACCATGAAATCTTAAATTATTTTAATTATGTACAGAAAATTGTATGGTATGGTATGGTATGGTAGTGAATTTTCGAAAAATTTTCTATGCTTTAATCTTTGAATGCAGTTCTCTTTCTTTTAAAAAATAAAGGAATGTTTTCTTTGAGTAAAATTTTCTATCTACAGTATTAAGGGTACTTTCCCTCCAGGTGGTTACAAAATTCCACCCTGTAGAACGTTGTCTTTAGAACTCATATTATGATCGTAGCCATTTTAAGACAGATATTCAATTAATTAATGTTGTCTATATTTGCCAGATCCAAAGTCATTGCTTGAAATATAATCGGCGGTTTTTTTGGTCTCAAGGCGTTGAGTATATTTAGCTTTTAATCATCGTTTAAGCAGGTGGGTGAGTGTGGGTGGGTTAATTTACTTTTTAATGCTGACTAGAGTGATAACTACTATACATAATATGCCTTTTTCCTGTGATGCAGATCTGTGGCCTAATTCACGTATTTTTTCAGTCAAGATCTCGCTCACGTTCAGAAGTCGTCCCATTGAAAAACAATTCTAAATCCGTATTCACAAGGGTCATTTTCGATAGAACGATTACTCAATAGGATCGCAACTCAACGATTTGTTGTCATTGAAGTTTTGTTACATCGTCGTCCCATTGAAAAACAGTTATAAATCTGTATTCACAAGGGTCATTTTGATAGAACGATTACTCGATAAGATCGCAACTCAGTGTTTTGTTGTCGTTGAAGTTTTGTTACGTGTTTAAGGCCACAGATCCGCACTCGTGCCCATATCCTCACCACAGGAAAAAGGAGATAAATGTGATTCATTGTTTCAAAATGGCTGACGTGAATAGAACTGTCGTCAGTTTTCCCTTTCAGATTGGTTGAAACAATTAATTTGATTTTTTTTAATTGGTTCGAATAGCAAACATCATTGTGTCAAATACTGTTTGAAATAAGCAAACATTTGTATGGACAAGTTTATATTAAAACTAGATTAGGACATACAGTTATATTATAATTTGTATCTGTATAAAAACCTTTACCAGAATATTATTTTTATATTATTTATTTATTGGTTGCAATCAACAAACCATTTCAAAGCTAAGATCTCTCTTTTTCTCTTTATTTATTGAATATAGTGACATTTAATTTAGAAGTGGCTACGTAAACTTAACAGTCATTGATTTTGTAAGAATCTTCTAATAATGATGCATTTACATGCTTATGACTTGTCCGTTATTATTGAATAAAGAGAAAATAAGATACCATACTATACTATCTAGTTTTTTAGAATAATTGTAATTATTAAACTCGCCACCATTTTATTATTGTAGAATTTTGGGTCTGATTAATTCCGTCCTTTTTATTAAATTTAATTACGTAAAGATTCTATAGGTTTTTCGAATATATTGTGTAATAGTATTTTGGAGACTTTATATGCCTTAGTATAATTTCGAGTTATGTATCTTAAATAATTCGTTATAATTATTATATTTTGTTATAATTATAAATAAATCTATTTTACTAACATAAGTTGTTTCAATACATCGTAGTTACGAATTATAGTAAGATTGAGTGTTCTTAAGTTTTGGTCACAGTAGGTGTGCTAGGAAGGAGACGGAAATTTTCATCGTCAAGAAGCACTGTTTCCTCCAGCTACTACCAGCCTTCTTCTTGAGGTCGTCGGTGTGACATGTCATGTAGCAGGCGACCATTTACCGAGGTGATCTCCACTCGACAACTCGTTTACTCCACTTGACGGTCGGAGGTCGGTCAAGGAATCCCCTGTGGCCTCGTGGTCCTACTGCCTTTGTCCTACCGATGGGACCACATTAACTTTTTTTTCCGCTTGGTCCGATTAAGTAATCGGACTATTATTATTTTTAGACCACGTGATCCCACCAATCGAACTACGCGTTCTAGCCATGAGTATGTGACACTGCATAAATAGGCAATTATTTAGAAAATCTTAAATAAATTAAAGTTACAGTTGAAAGTGCAACAAAATGGGAGACGACAGCAAATATTTTATTTTCTTCATGGAGGAAACTGTGGAAAATAA